TTTGCTCTGCCTTATTTGGGGTGGCTTAGCAAAAGTTCATATTTCCCCTTATTTATCATGTCTTCCTCTGTATCTCCCTGTTGCTGTTTCTCCTCTGTCTCTTAGCCTTACTACTCTCTTAATTGCTTTTCACCCTGTTTATTACTCACCTGACATTGGTTCTCCTGTCATTTCTCTGTAAGCTTAGACACTCTTTTCCAGTAAACACATCACCAATAAACTGAGCATCTTACTATACTGACTATTCAATCTAAACTCTTTTCAGCCTCCATTTTTGTTGTAATTATCACTTACACGTAATAAAACTCCAAAGTCTTATGAACAGAATCAGAAATGGCCATCTTCGCCCATTTCTAGTCACTCAAAATGTGTTTGAGGCTCAATTAACATGAAATAAAACATGTGTTTTTGTCAATCTACAGTTTATCCCACCTGAGCCATTGGTAGCTTAAACTCCTTTTTTGGCCAATGGGGTGGTTTAGCTGCTTCTCTGACTAATGCATCTTTGGTGCAGCCTGTCAACTCTGTATTGAATGTATCCCTAACCTTTTTATCTGTGTGTTCACTGCTGTATTATATTTTGTCCTCTTAGCCGTAATTCACCGTGATAAGATTTGAAAAAGGTTCAAGGGGCCTGAGTACTGTTTCAGGGTACTTTATGTTGCTAAAATACTCTATATTCTAGGTCAATACAAAACAAAAGCCCTTTCATGACAATCACTTTACAGGTCAACATTAAATCCTTTAGCTAATGTGAAATAAAAGGCTTTCCCCCAAACAAAACATCATTAAAGATTTAATAATTCTTCAAATTAGGCTGGGCTACATGCTTCCTTTGCACAGACCACAGATATACAGATATATTTTATATTTGAATACATCTAAAAACATACAGAAAATGAAACTAATTTTATATACAGTTATAACACATAGAGTGGAATATATTTAGCTTCTATTTTCTATAATTGTTGGTCTAATTATGGCTTATAGACAATAACAAAAATAACAAAAATCTAATAAACACAAACAGAAATGACCAGCTTCACTCATTTCTAACAACTCAAACTGTGTTGAGGATTTTTTGTATTAAATACTACATCAGTGGGGCTGCACGGTGCACTGTTGCCTTACAACAAGAAGGTTCCTCGTTCAATTACTCTTTCTGCATGGAGTTTGCATGTTTGGCTTCCTCCCACAGTCCAAAACATTACTTTTAGGTTGTAAGTGGGGTCTCTATATTGTTCTTAGTGTGTGTGCGTGGTTGGGTGTCGCTGTGTTGCAGACAACACGGAGAGAGGGTGGATGGATGGATTAATGGATGGATGGACTGCATCAGTGGTGTGCCACACAGTGGAGATCAGCCGTTGGTTCTGCTGTGGTGTAGTTGGAAGCACAGATTCCTTTAAGAGTGGCACTGGGGTCTTGTTGGGTCTGTTGTCTCCTATCTTCTCATTGGCAACAGCACATACATTTGCTGCTGGGTTAATCCTGGGCATTGAAGCAGCTTTTTGCACCTGTAGTGGTGAGCGCAGTTGCTGAATCCTGCTGCAAAAGGAAACCAGCATCTCTATTGAGCTTCTCGGCAGAAGAAAGCATTCAATTCTCCATTTTTTCTTTTGATAGATACACAGTGGACCAACACAGATGAAACGTGTTGAGACACCATGGATTCTGTGCCTCATCCTTCAGACTCTGTAGCCTGTATTTCCAAATGAAAAGGGACATTTACTTCGGCCGAAAATAAGACAATATAATCCCTGGGAGGGATTCATCTGTGCACTGACTCCAGTCTCATTCCACTCCTTGTGAAGCTCCTGTGAAAGGATTTTGCTTGACAAGCCACTTGAAGCTCAGGCTTTGCCTGTACCATGTCCTTCCACACTTTTTACTTTCACTCAACCTTCTATGAATATTTTTAGATACAACACACTATGGAAAACTAGCTTCTTATGAAAGGTGTTGGACATCTGTAAAATCAGCAGCCTTCACAATGGTTGACACATACACAGACTATTTAGCAGGTTAATAGATGTTTGCAGGTGTTTTGAGATTTTTAACACCATAAGTTTCCAGTAGATACATTTGACCGGATTCCTATTTTCTAAGAAATTTGATTTTTGGTTTTAATTTAGTGGAAGTCATAATCTTCAAGATTAGAATGAATATTGGCTTAAAACAGTTTTCTGCATGTCATTTTAATCCTTGCACCTTTACAATAAAAAAACAAATAAGAAAGAAAAACAGTTATTTTTCTTATACCCTCTTTCTGCACATCTGCAGACAGAGACACTGGGAGACAGATTTTCACGAGGATGAGATGCTCTGCTGCTGGATTTATGAATGAATCTTTAGGACACGCCTCCTGCAGAGACACAACCAACAGCACGTGCACTGATTTTAACCACGCCCCGCAGTGATAGCCAATGGGAAGCCGGCGAAGGTTACCGCTGTTGCATAATTTGTCTGGAAGCGTCACGTTTAGGAGGCTGTCTCCACGCTGTCTGTCTGTTTCACAGCATTTGGATCCATCCTTTACTCCACGGTGTGACGTTATACTAGCTCCAAAGCCTTAAAGACGGGTATATCTTTAATTAAGATATACCCAGAGAGCCAAATGGTCTTTTGTGTCTTAAATTCAAAGAATCAACGAAAACAATTTAATTTAACAGTATCCTGCCTCAGTCACAGTTTGTGGGAAACTAATTCCCCATGTTCATCCAGAACCACGTGATTGTTCAATTATTTACTCAAAGTGCTGAAGGTCCAGGAGATGGACATTGAATTCCTACCTGAATTTGTTAGGGTCTCCGAGTCACATGTAAATGACCCCTCCTAGTGGTTTAATTTATTAGACATTCAAAAAAAGATTTTCTAAAGTATCTAATTAAGAAGAGCTTGACTCTAGAATTAAAAAAAGGAAATATTTCTCACAAATCCTTATTGTTAAGACCCCTGCCCGCTACTAAAAGTGATAAAAAGGGCTTCTCACACAGTAATGCAACATTATGTAATTCTGACAAAGAAAGTTAAAGGTTTCCTTTGAAAGCAAATGATGCCATGCATTTGAATTTAGGGTGTGAAGGGCATAAAATATGTTTATCCCAACATTAACTCTAAGTTTCACACTACGTATGTGGATTCTTGAGAGATGCAGTAAAACCTTATATTTCATCAAACTAAACACATTTCATTATGAATGCATTTGAACAGTTAATATCTTATAAACATATTTGTTTTCTGTGTTTTAACTGATCATAAACAGTAGAGTCCAAAGTGTTGGTGACAAGTATTCACTATTTCACATAAATTAACCTGTACATAAACACCTTCCATATCTTATTGGCCCTCATTTTTCTTTTTTTATACTTCAACTGCCACCACTTATTTAATAGAATGCTATGTTAAAAAAAAAGCTGAACAACACCAATTTGCAGCACATTTATTTGCATACATTGTTATGTAAGGAGTACAGCCACATAAATGTTCTTTTTATTATTATAACATAAAATAAAATTTAAAAATGATGAGCTGTTTTTCAGTAGTGTATAGACAACTCATTAAAAAAATCAGATGTTTTCAGCAAGGGAAATGAATACAGAAAACAAAGAAAAAAAACAACAATCTGGTGAAATTGATGTGCAATCAGCACTGAGGAGTAAAGGATGGAGAAGAGCCAGGAGGCTTTACTTCAGATGGAGCTCCACCTAGTGGTTTAAATTTTTTTAAAATATAAAATCAGGGATTGAATATAAAACTTCCAACACCAATTTATAAGACCTGCCACAAATTCTTAATTTGATATGGGTCTGGACATTGATTCATCGAAACACTTACCTGTGCTTTATATAGATTAATTAAGTTTGGTCAATTTTTTAAAATTTCTATTTAGGGTTAATGAGCTGCTAGAAGGTAAACCTTTGTCCCAGTCCCAAGTGTTATGTAGCCTCCCCATGCCTGCTTAATCAGAAAACCATCCCAGTAGAATGATGCTTTATCCAACATGTTTTATAGTGGGGTGTATGGAGGACCAGGAGAGTCACTGAAAAATAAATGTAACCATTCAAGTTTCATATTTGTATTTGTCCAATTAAAATCATTGACCATTTTAAATCAAATTATTAAAGACGGGTTGTGAATTGTATGAAGTAATCCTTTAATATTAGTTTTCTAAATGATGATTTAAAAAACACATTTCAAAAATCTGATTATAAACAAAAATACATTTTAATTTCCTTTTAAATTTTCACCCTGCATTGTTGAAAATGTTTTGCAATTGCATTTATTTTGTTGTTTACCCTCTACATTTAGCATGTGACCTTTCTTGTCCCCCTGAATTATCTTAATGGTAAAACTGAATCTATAATGTATGTATATGTCAGAATTAGAACCAAAAAATGATAGTTTGTGCCAGTAAATTCAACAGTGTGCCCAACTCAGTTACATTTATATTTAGAAAATACTTTAATATGACCACACTTAAATAAATGTATAATACATGTAAAAAACTTTATACAAAAAACCCTTTATCAACATTTAATATAAAACGTACATGTCAAAAAATAATTTATACCCTCAATAACCTAAGAGATGTGTTTGAGTGTTTACTGTAATTGATGAACAGCCTTCGAATATTCTTACATTATTATTATCATTATATTATTCCCCACCAGTGGAAACAAGTTGATAAATTCAAAAGGTTAGTTTAAACCTTATCTAGCAGTAGGTTGGTTCAAATTATTTTAATTCTATCAATAGCTTAAATAGCAGGTTTCTGGTACTTGGTGGTCCAAAACTCCATACAAGACATACTTAAACTGCAAACTACTGGCAGATTCAGTGACATTAGTAAAAAAGTTGAATAATTAGAAACTTGGACTAGAAAGGAGAGTTAACTGCAAAAGTGTCAAATTGAAAACTTTCTCTGTTGCTTTGAATTCCAGACTGGATTGAGAATGTTAAACAGGGCTGTAGCAGGTGGAACTATCAGACCCAGTTCCCTCATTTCTCCCCACCTACATCTCTCCCTCTCTTGCTCCTCATCTCCCAGTAAGCCCTTATTCATTTCTGCGTATGGGCAGGGGGGGTGAACATGGAATCGTTGGGTCTTTTTGTCCTGCTCATACTTGTGTTTTTCCACTGGACAGCTGCTTCTTCTGCTGGTAAACTGTTCATTAACATTAAAATAGGGCTTATGTGACCATTTAGTGTCTATGTTTCAGGGTGAGAGGAACAGAGTGTGGGCTACAGTAGAGGAGCAACCATTCCAGAGAGAATTTGAACAGATTCTGAGAACTACTGATCATTTTTCTTTGAGCTTCAGTAACATTTTACTTATAACTGTAGGTCGAAAATTGAATTTTAGTTTTGCAGACTTGTAGCCTCTACACAGAATAATTAACACAAACAGGATATTTATAGGAGATGTTTCTCTTTTTTTTTTTCTTTGTAGACAAAATCACCTGGAGCTATTCTGGTAAGTTTATTTTTCCTTATTTTCTAATTACAGCTGACTTTCTTGTGGAGATATCGGGGCAAACAAATAAGATCAGCAGTTGATAATCAGGATTTAATTAGTATTTTGGTGTCAAACCTTTAACTACAGCTAATATCTGAACACAACTCTTACATTTGAAGTAATGAAGATAACAACTTTGCAACAGGAAAATGATAGATTGCTCCATATAGTCCAATATATAAAGAGTAAAGACCAGCCAGGGGTCTAAAAGCTAAAAGAAATGAAAAAAAAAAAACCAAAATTTGGATGTTTTCATATCTGCGGCAGAACCTTTTGTCTTTGTTCTTGTGTTTCACCCACCATTTCTCCCTTCTGTTTTCACCTCTTTCCCCCTCTGTCTGTATTAGTAACAGTTGAACAGGCTGGCATGGGTGCAGCAGTCACACAGGGTGTAGGAAAGGAGTTGGATAGGAGGAAAGCAGGAAGAAAGACAGAGGGAAGGAGGCAGGTGGATGAGTATGAGTGTGTTGCACTGAGATGGGACGGTTCTGAGGGATAAAGCAAAGCGAATCGTGCAGTGTATTGTGGCATCGCACAATAACCTATGTGTGTATTGTGCTGTTGGTGCACACTGGCTGCCTATGTGCTGCACAATGAGTGTGTGGGAATGAAAGGGGCACACAGCTGACCATCCTCTACTTGCATTCAGGGGAACAAAACTAATGTGTCGTTCTTGCAGTTATTATCCACAGACTGCTTTGTGTTTATAAATTACTGTTTAGACATTTTAGCAAAGGATACATTGCTGTTAACCAATATACGTTAAGTGACCAATTTTATTTGCTTTATCATTTAAAGCCAATCACTGAAGCAGAATAAGAGAGGGTGGTTGTGCATATGTTGTAATTTAAAATGCAGACCCAGCACTTCACTTTTCCTTGGGCCATTTTTTCACACTAAAAGATTAATTTAATACCCTGTTGTGTGTGTGGCTGTGATTGTGTGTGTGGCTGTGATTGTGTTCATGGCTGCATTCAGGACAGGAGCAGCGGGCTTAGTGAGATACAGTGGAATGGCTGTAATTGGTTCAGAATCTGGCCTCTGGTTTCCATAGTGAAGATGAGGTGCCTTACAGGGCAAAGTTTCAGGGATGTCAAAGAGGATGTGATGTGTTTGAAATCCCCACATTTCTCACATTGAGTACACATGTGTGTAAGAGAAAGTCATTGATAGTATACGATTCAATTCAAATTATTTCTAGACATCAATTCACGACACATTTTATCTCATGGTACTTTACAAAGACAATGAAATTATAGTCATGTTGGTTAAAATTTGTGGAAAGTCAGCTGTGTCACAACTCAGAACAGAAGGACTCAGTATTTGAGGCAGGACAGACAGTGGGATTATTCAAAAAGCGTTTTTTTGAAATAAACAGACTGCGGATCTGTAGTAGCAGCTGCTAGGGCGTCTGAGTTAGGAACCTCTGGAGAGACGAAACACAGGTTAATGACCAACCTTAACCTGACAGAGGATGATAAGAAGCATGAGTCACTAAACTGTTTTAGAGTACAGTCCGTGGCCAGAGAAAGAGGTTGATACCAGCCGGTCAGCTAACAAGATGTAGCGGCTGCCACACACAGAGTTCCACACGCTGAAGCCTAGAAGGTTACAGAACTGTCAGGAGATCAGATTTTGAACCGAAACACCACCTACATCACATCATGCTCACACTGCATGTATATTGTTTTACTTAGAATTAATTTGTAAATCTATATCTATCATACAATAATATTTATCTTACAAAATAGTATTAACAAAACAACTTGAATAAGTACCCAACTTAACAGATGCAGGTAATATGTACTTGGATATTAGTAGTAAACGTGGTGCTTTTCTTCTTGCCTGACCATGTTTAGGTCAGAAGTAGGTCCTTGTTGCCTGGGCAGTAGCACAGTTTGTAGCACTGTTTCCTTGCAGGAAGAAAGTTCTATGTTTGATCCCCAGTTCAGGGTCTTTTTGGATAGAATTTGCATGTGAGTGTTGGCATAGCGGCTGGGAGTATTGGCCTAGTGGTTAGAGCAGTGCGCTTGTTCTCTGAGAAGGTTGCAAGTACCTGGTTCAATCCCCACAGCCTGCACCCCTGAGCAAGACGCTTAACCCCACTCTGCTCCTGGTACCAAACATTAGCTGTCCACATCTCCCCAAGGGGATGGGTTAAATGCAGAGGTAAATTTTTTCAGACTGAGATTAAAAAAGTTCAATTATTATTATCATCATATGTGGGTTCTCTCTGGGTACTCTGACTTCCTCCTCCCAATTAATAATTGGCTTCGCTAGATTCTCCTTGTGTTTGTGCATGATTATACTGTATGTCTGTGCAGAAATATCTCCATGTGAGTCACCTGAATTTCAAAATTACTAGATAAGATTCAAAAACTGTAGCTGCAGTTAAGCTTTAGATTTTAGATATTTGTTCATTAGAATATAATCTGCATATTAATGAATGCGCCCATGCAAAAAAAGGTTTTGCACATGCTCTCTGCTGAATTGCATGAGTAAATAACTAGGGATGGGAATCGAAAACCGGTTCCTGTTAAGAACCGGTTCCGTATTTTCCGATTCCATGGCATCGTTTGGCAGCTCACTGAACGATTCTTTTTTCGATTCCCGCAGCACCAGAGCCTAGAGCGCCGGCTCTGGGGAGCACGACTTACGTCACGTTTCTTACGTAAGTTACGTAAGTTACGCAAGTTACGCAAGTTGGAAGAACTATTCGAGGAGGAAGACAACGAGCTGCGGTCACTTTGTGAATCAAAGCCCCGTCTTTCCTTAGCCCAGAGGGTAGATCAGGAAATCCAGCTCTATAAAAGCTTGCCCTCCATCCCCTGCAGGGATAGCGCCACACTGTGGTGGTGGAACAAGCAAGATACGCTGCCCTTGCTATCTGACTGGCTGAAAACTACCTCTGTGTGCAGGCTTCCTCCACCCCATCTGAGAGGGTGTTCTCCACGGCTGGAGACACCATAAGCCCTGAAAGATCCTGTATCCTTCCAGAAAAAGCAGATATGCTCATCTTTCTGCAAAAGAACTGTTAATTTTTCCTACTACTGTTTTATAATTAGTATTTTTTGTTATTTAAAATAGGTTATTATCCCATCATTTGTTATTAGACATTGTTGGTTATTAAGTTTGTTCTTGTATATTTATTTTTCATTTAAACACAGATGTTACTCCAGTTTCACATTTCCTGTGGACATCTTGATCTTGTTGAGTTTGTAAGATTGTGCAATAGTTAAGTAAACAAAGTTGATTCTGATAATCAAACTGTTTGTTCTCCTTTTTCCCCCAAATTGGAATCGAAAAAAGAATCGATAAAGAATCGAATCATTTCATAGAATCGAAAAGGGAATCGGAATCGTGAAAATCTTTTCAATTCCCAACCCTATAAATAACTTTGTGTCCTCTTTGAGGATCTGCTATGCATGTGCAAAAACCTTTGCATGCTCATGTTTTAAGATGCTAGAATCTTTTGAAGATCAGTTCCAAAGAGAATAAATACAACATAAAAATTTGTTCAGTCTGATAAGCTTTACATTTTTCCTTCTTTAGCTCAGTGATGATTAATATAATACTTTCTATGCTAAACACTTGAATAACAAGAGACATGTAGTGTTTTTAAAACATATTTTTTTACTGCTTTCCTTTGGTCAGAGGTTTGGTCTAATTATAATTATAGCTAAAGGGACTAATTTGTATATACACTTAAAGGTGTCTTGCATCCTCAGCTGTATATTGCCTTAAACAGGTGATGATAAATGCTGAAACCATGCATGTCTTTTGAAAAGAATTAATCATCCTGCCATGAATGTAAATAGAAAATAGTAGAATAACTGTCCTGCTGGGTTGGAAGCCGATCAATGGAGGCTTTTCACTGGGTTGCTCAGAGCCAGTGGACTGTGTGATTGGGTGACGTCTCTGTTTCTGTCTTTCCTCTGTTAAAGGTTTGGTTGGTCAGTCCGAGTGGTCAGAGTATTTTCCTGAGTGTGGTGGTACTTCCCAGTCACCCATTGATGTGGTAACGACTCAGACTAAATATGACCCCAGTTTGATTCCAGTGGAGCTGCCGGGCTACAGCCATTATGGCAACCTGCCCTTTGCAATGCACAATAACGGACACTCCGGTAACTATGACAGCAAGCTTATTCACTCCCTTTGTTTTGTGCTTTAGCTGTTCTGCTTACCCTGTACTCAAATTGGCCTGACAGTTACCGCCCATTAAGGGATGAGTTAAAATTTCAACAAACTTTACATCTAAATTAACAAAACATCTGTTAGTGTCCCCAGTCCTTACTGGTTCATTAAATTTCTCTCCTGCACAGTGATTGTTGAGCTTCCAGAGTGGATGGGGCTTGGGGGGCTGCCGTGGTTCTATACAGCCGTTCAGCTGCACTTCCACTGGGGCAGTGGTGGTCCAGGTCATGGGGGCAGTGAACACACCATCAATGGAATGGGTTCAGATGCAGAAGTAAGTAAACTGAACAATATCCTCTACCTTCATCCATGAGCTGCACAAAAGAAAGAAGAACAATAAAACATAATCTGTGTGGCACAAAGTAATTTAAATAATAAACAATTCTTTAATAACCAATAAGCAATTCTAATGGAAAACAAAAACTGGTTTCTGCTTTTATTTATGTAAAATAATTAAGTAAAAGTTTTAATTGTACTTTACTGAAAATAAAACAAATTTTCATGCTTATAAAACACATTCTTTGGGTCGATTAATTTCATACAATTTCCATAATGGCAGGCACAGCCTTCTTCTTTGTCCAATGTATTATTAACACTTAACTGATCACTTTAAACATCTAGAAAGCTGTACCACCTGTTCGGCACAGTGGTAGTAGCATGATACAGAGCGTCTGTTTTGCTGCCAGTGGAACAGATGTATTTTACATGATGGATTTAATAATAAAGATGGGGCAAAATTTTTAAATTCTTCCAACTCAGACTTAAACCCAACAGGAGCTGATTCCACATGAATGGGCTAGAATGGCTAATGCAGGCTAACATTAGCCTTGTTGGAATGCTTTAGCCTTGATCCTTTTAGAAATATAGGGAAGATGCTTTATTCTTTATGCACTGGTTGAAATTTGACTAAGAATATTAACATCCAGCCTGGTTTGATTTACCAGACACTCCCCTTAACACTCCCCTTAACATGTTGTGTTTTCAAGTTTGTCTTCCCATTTCTTTCTTTTAAACTTTCCACCTAAGATGTGGGCAGACACATCCTCTGTTATATCAATGTGAAAAGATGAACTAAGTGTGTTTCTTCTCTCTCCAGCTCCATGTGGTCCATTACAACTCTGATCTCTACCCCAACATGTCAACAGCGATGACAAAGAAAGATGGCCTGGCTGTTCTAGGAATTCTCATTGAGGTAATGAAAAAAGACTCAATTGAAATTTAAGCTGTTAAACACCCTAGGGATTGATATACAAACTAGAATCAGAGTTCTGAGCATCATAAGTGTAAGTTTGATTTACCAGACAGGTGAAGAGACGAATCCTGGGTATAATCACATCATTAACCACTTGAGCCGCATCAGACATGCAGGTAGGATCCTTGTAAGACATATGATTATTTGGGCTGGATTTATTCTGCTGTTCTGCTTTTCTCTTGTCACAATATTTAGAGTATTTTATTTATTTAAATTTTTTCAATTGAATTTCATTTAAAATATTGTAAATGGAAACGTATGACAAGAATTTGCTCTGAACCATCAAACCAACAGAGGAATCATGGTTTGACATTTCCATATTTGTCTTTACTTTCCCCCCCCACCCTATTCTCTGTAACCTTCTGCTCTCCCTTTGCATCTCTAATTTCTCGTCAGACAAGAGAACGTTCATCCCAGCCTTTGACGTCCAACAGCTACTCCCCAAAGATCTGGGAAGCTACTATCGCTACAACGGCTCCCTGACAACCCCGCCCTGCTACCAGAGTGTTCTCTGGACAGTGTTTCACGAAAGGGTTAAGATCTCAAAAGCACAGGTCTGCATGACAATAATGAGAAATACAGAAAACAAGCTAACATTTTTAAAAAATATTAATTTAACCATACAAATGATCAAGATAAATGGAAATATAATTGGATCTAGTAGGGCAGATTTGTAGGGCTGTGGTCTTAAAACCTCAAAGTGTATCTCACCCAAAAAAATCAACTAACTTTTCTGATAAACCACAAAATCTCAGTCCATGTGGTGATATTTTAAAATTTACTGTCCATTTTTATTATTTTATATAAGATTGTTTTGTTCTGCATTATTGTCTCATCTAAGTGCTGCCCTAAGTGGTTAAATGGTAGCTATTGCATTTCCCTATGGTTTCAAACAGTGCATGTTGGTACACACTTGCAAAAAAGATCTAGAAATAAGTACAAATTTCTTAAATCAAATGTATTTACCCCTAATTTGAGTAGGTAAATAAGATAAATTGCCAATAGAATAGATTATTTTTAACCTTAAAATGAGACAATTAGATAAAATTCACTTATAGGACAATATTTAAATAGTTTTTTATTATTTTAAATGTAAATTGTCTTGTTCCATTGGCAAACTGTCTTACTAACCTGCATTATTTTAAGCAAAAATTACTTATCTAGATTTAAATTTTTGCAGAGCTACTGGTAGAGGCTTTTAATTATTATAGCTCTGCATTTTATTATAAACACATTCCACCCTGTCCTCTGTCGCCTTGGCAGCAACAGTTTCTCTAAGTGTTTCTAAGTCAGCCGGTGCTGATATCAATTATTTTGACATCAGTCTAATCTATCATCGAGATGTGATCAATATTGATTTCTGATATATGAGGAATGATCTCTGCCTGGAAAAATTCCCAGACAGTGATTCTTACACTGTTGCTTTCTGCCCAGCGTGTTTACACAGTGACTGGATGACGGCACATTTGGACTTCTGCTGGAATTCAGGATCTGAACAAACTCTGTTGCTAAAACATAACAGAATGATTATGGTAACTAAAACGACTCTGGTTGGTGAATGAGAAGGTTACATTCTGTGGAATTTTGACTTTAGCAGGAAAAAGATGATCTGTTTAAAGGTAATTCATGAAGTTAAAAATAAATCTTCATTGTTGCTGAATTTTTAATCATCCTGGAGAGGACAGTCATGGATTTTAAATATAATTTAGTTCAGTCTAATGTCACGGTAAGGCCTTTGTCAGAGTACTGAGGTATGTGCAGCAGTGTGTTCAGAGCCAGTTTTTGTGAGTGTTATAACATAATAGAGCTGGTGAATGTTACAGACATCCATGTTCACAAACCTTCGTGTTGTTAGACATCAGTCCTGCTTTGGTTTGCTTTGAGTCCTTAACTAAAGAAATATTTGGCTGTTTTTTACTATCCTAAATTCAACACATTCTCAAATCTTACATAAAATGTTAAGCTTTTGTGACCCTATAGTATCTTTGCATCATTACACTAACCATCTCTAACAATTTCCTTTTCTATGAAAGGGTTTCATGCATGTGACTATGTCTATATAATGGAGCCCTCTCTATCTCTTGACTCCAGCTCCTGAAGATGGAGACGATACTTTACTCCACTAAAGAGCAGGAAGCTGACAGGATGCTGCTGCAGAACAACTACCGGATAACGCAGCCCCTCAACCAGAGAGTCATCTTTGCCTCTTTCTCTGAAGGTTAGAAAGAAAAAAACGATAAAGGACATGGTAGGAAACATTCTTTTGATGTTTGATCTGCATGATCCTTAGTAGTTTCTTTTAATATATAATACAGCTGAGCGTTCAAAAGTTCAAGCTCAGCTTGGGTTAACCTAACTTCAATCATTGCTCCTCATCCACAATTTCACAGCAACAGATATTAAAACCAACCAGTTAATTTAATCACTAATACAATAACAGGTCACTGTGTGGCCAGTTAGACCAAACCGTAGATCTAAAGGATGTAGAAAACAGCATGCAGAGAGTGAACACTGGAACAGAGAATGTAAATAGATTAATAATAACTCGTGACTTTTAAAGTAATAAGGCTAAGAATGTTGACTGAGAACATGAAATAAATTCAGAGGATGGTCTGGGGATGTGAAGAGAGATCTGTTTGTGAAGGATCTGAGCAAAGACAAGGATTTGGAGAAAATAAACAGTGACTCCATTGTTATCACACCAGAGTGGCTGACAAAAAGAGAGGGGCAAAGAAGAGTCATTGGGGTGAACAACGAGAAAGTGGAAAGATTTTATGCAAAGTGCTCTTTTAGTGACTGAACTTGGAGGGTTTGGGAGATCAGGATATTGTAAAAAAACAAACACCTAAACATCACTTCTGCAACAACAAACAAAACTTTTCCATCATGAAAATCAGTTGAATTTTTAATTATGTTTTCTCTATGTTACAGGATCAGGCAGGAAGCTCACCTCTGGTAAGAAGAAAATATTGCTAATAATGGAGCAAACTTCTGTGCAAATGAAACAAGCAATAAAGGAATTAAATGAAAAGGAGAATGATTTTTGCTGCATTTGTTTCCTCTCTGCAGGTGAGGTGACAGCCATTGTGATCGGAGTGATGTGTGGCTGCGTTGGTGTGGCAGTGATCATTCGCTTCATCGTAAAGACGATACGGTAAACAGTCCTGCTCTTTTCACTGTGGCGTGTTTTCCAACCAATGTCCTCATGAGAGCACCGGATCCTGGTTACCAGCTTGTTGTTAGTTTTCTCTGACTGTGACAGGGCTGACACGCTGTGCAGGACTTCAGCTTTTATTTTTCACTCTCTTTCTTTCTCTTGGCAGATTTTTTAAACTCCTTCACCTCGAAACAGTCGCGGTAAACAGGTGGTTTACCTGATCTTAATACTGACACAGACTAGCACTGAAATTTGGTTCATTTCTTCATTCAATATATATTCTAACGTTATTCTAATGTTAATTGAGTAATTCACTAATTAAAAGTGGGAAAAACTATTATAGAACACTATCCACATCGCCATCTCTAGTAATTATATAACCTAAAATGATTAGATTTATTTAGAAACTTTGATTTGTCCCAATAAAGTCTATTTCTGTATCACTATATATTTGAAATTGATAAAAAATAACATAGAAATAAAAAAAGTTATTGAACACTATTTTGCCATTAGTCACAAGTAAAAAAACAACACCTATTCTAAACATGGAAGTTTCCTTTTTCCTCCTTTTGAGTAACATAACCCAGATTGTGAGTTTCCATTTTCTTAATTGTGTAATAATAAGATTATGCTACCAATAAATAATTTGGTTATTTATGGCTTTTATCACATTTTTCAAGGGGTAACTGCAGTGGTGCCTCTAAATATGGTCATCTTTGGCTAATGAATAAGATTTCAGGCTTAAGCTAGTCAGCAGTATATAAAGATATTTGAAGGAACACTGTATTTTTGTGTTTACAATGTTATTAACCCTTGAAAAAAATTTAAAATGTCACCATGTTAGTTTTTATTTATTTATGTAAAAGAGAATATAAGAACAAAAAAACTAAACAAGGTTGGTTCATTTTTTTCTAAAGTTATATATCAATTTCAGACGTTAATTAAATACAAACAACACAACCAGTATATTTCACCTTGATACGGTCAGTTTCTCTGAAAAAAAATTGGATTTAGTTTTTTTGAGAGAGAAATGTTGCTAAATCAGTTTTTTAATTTAGTCGATATATTATATTTTGAGTAGAAAAAACAGAATCCTAAGCTGCATTGTTTATTCCAGCCTACTTGCTGAAGAGGTTTATTTCTACAGACTGTTTACATGCTACAGGAGAATGAACTCTTTGTTATTAAATCCTATTGTAAAGTTTAGACTTGGAAGCTCATTTATATTTGCTTAGAGCTTTTCTAATCTCTAATCTCCATATAGAACATTTATTCCCATCGTTTGGACTTTATTGTTGAACATTAGAAACGATCCTTGCTTTAAAGTATGAAAGGCTCTCACCCTTTATTGAAATCACCTGCACCAAACCTTCTATATTAAGTGTTTGTAGAGGTGTTGAAGAAACGCACTTAAGTATATAATCCTCTTTATGCTTCACGGTGAAAATATGAAAGTAACTTAAAGATCCAGGCAGGGATAATCTGCTCTCCTGACCTCTTCTCGAAAACATGCATGTTTCTGTTTTTTTTCTGTTTTTGCTTCTTTTTTTTTTTTTTTTACAGTAAAAGTAACTGTAGGGTTTCTTTTTTAACCCTTTGCTGTTTTAGTCTTTCTGTTGCTCTGACCACCTCTTTATAAACAATGATCAGCTTCATCAAAAGCACATTCTTTATATAAAATGGCTTGGCACTGTGGCAAAGGTTATTATTATTTTATCATTCAAAAGCATTGCGTTTTGGTGCATGGCTTTATTTTCCTGTGTTCGAAGCCCACCAGGCATGTCCCACAGGGCATTAATCAGAAGTGGACTGGGCATTGGGAACATTGAATTAAGTTAAGTGACTTTAAAATAAACAGGATTGGAGAGCCTCACTCCCTCTGTTGTGCTGGACATTATTCCCATATAAATGAGTTGCATGCACAACCTGTATGCTCTTCACCGCTGTGGCTTTAAAGTTGTAGCTGATCAGTGTAATCTTCTGAACCATAAAAACATCCCATAATCACCTCTCTGTCAGTTCTGACTGCAATGCTTTTCACTGGTGTGTATTGTTGTTGTTTTTACTAGATGTAACTGTTAGTCTCTGTCATGGCTGCAATTAAACTGCTAATCTCTGTGGATAATATGTTCCTTTTATCTTTCCATGATGATTTTACCTGTAGCACTTTGAGATTTTTCTTAAATGTAAGGTGCATTACAAATAAAATTATTATTGTTATTATTAATAATCATGTGTAAATTTCAAGAGAGGTCTGACATGCTTAAAGAGCTGCTGACTTTCCTAATCTCAGTCACATGTGTGTTCTCATTTTAAAACTTGATATTCTGACTAAAGGCAAAACCAAGTGAGATTTCTTAATATCATAACACTCTCTATTCAATCATCAATCATTTCTTCTTTCCTTTGGTCTTGATTCTGCCTCTTCATCTTGTGACAGCTCTACTTCTAGCTGGGACATCCTGCACAATAACCGGCCTGCTCCAATGCCAAGGTCATTTATCAGAATCGAGGACTTCTAACCTTGTTTCCGGAACTCTCTTTGCAGTAAACACCTGTTTACAGTCACTTAACCCCCCAGAAGCACTTGTAATATCTATAAACTGAACTGAGTCTAGGTAGAAAAAAAAACACAGTTTTTATACTAATTGTCATTATATGCAGATAATACTAAAGTACTTTGTATACCTTTTAACATTTCAAAGTATATTATTATTTTTTACTAATAATAAATGTTAACACACATCCCTTGGTATGTAAAACCATTTGCATCAGCCTCACCGACTAATAATTTATCCCTCTTTTGTTTTTGTACCTGGAAAGACAGACCTCTTCTATACAACATAAGAACTACACTATTAAATAAAATAAAAATAAAATAACAAATATATTTGTAGCAACTGCAAATGTGATTACTTAATGAAATACCTTTTTTTTCTATAATGTTTCAGGACAAAAGAGACAGAGCAATCGCAGGAGAAAAAAACAGACCTGGTTGTGATGACGACCTCAGAATCTGAAAGGAAAGAAGAGTCGTCACCATCTCCTCAGACCAAGCCGTAGCGGGACATCCCACCTAAGGACCGTTGAAATTTCATATCAGAAGTCATTTTACAGATCTATGTGTTCTACGGGGAGGCAAACCTATTTTTTCTGCATCCTTCATGTAGAAACTGCAACAACACATGAGAGATGAATGATATTTTTAAAGTATCGCATTGTATTGTAGGTGGAAGGTCTTTCCCAACCAAATTTGGCTCCATTTCAGCCATCTCATGCAACCCTCCCCCCCAGATCCAAGAAGAGAAATGCCATTTTGCTGGTTAAATGTTTGGCATAGTTCCTGCATATGAGTCTCTGATGAAGAACACATGTAGGCATGGGTTTTAATCTTCCTTGTAATGTCCCTTCACATTTTCTAAAACCCAAACACACTGCACTAACTATTTGTAAGCTTTTGACAACTAAACACTTTGGAGTAATCTAAAAAGATAAGCCAGAAAGCAGACAATGTTGATGTAAAAAAACACATGAGAGGTGACATGTACATAGAGCTGCTGTACAAACATTTCAGAGAAGATTTTAAATCTGCATACTTTGTTGTAAATGGAAGAGTTATATTTATGTACATACATTTACTCTGTTGAATAGAGACTTTCCAAAACAGCATGTCATCTGTATTGTGTCCAACTTGTCTGAGCACTGAATTAAAACATCTGAATGCAAAAAATGTTTTGAATGATTTCCTGTCAGATACAAAGAGGAGGAGCATGTATGTAGTAAAGAAGAGTATGAAGAAGATTGATCAAGTCTTCTTTGAAGCCAAAATTCCAGTGGCAGATAAAAAATAAAGACAGAAATAATCTTTTTAACATAATTCTCTAACAGATTATACATTTGTATTGTTAGTAAACTGATTGTTTAGCAGTGAATGATGGAATTCTTCATTTAAACCAGTTATTTCATAGAAACGATCAGCCAGTGGTTTGTTAGCACATAAACAACTGATTAATTTATTTAAACAGTTTGTGAAAAAAAGAAAAACACAGAAGTTTCTTCCTGTTAAAAGGGAGTTTTTCCTCTCCACTGTCGCTACAAGCATGCTTAGTGTGAGGGAGTGTGTCCGAGTCAATGCGCCGCGCCGAGGTCTGGTCGGATTCCAAGACTCCTTGTTATGCGGCCTTAAAACGCGTCCTTCTTTTTGCCCAATTTGAAGGACGGGTCCGATATATCTTCGCTATCCTTAGATATCCCAGGATTCATTGCGAGACCAAGCAAGCCTGCTGCTCCGTGATCAGAGGAAAGGTTACTTAGTGCCGAACAGTGGGGAATATTGGAAGTGCAGTTTAATATAATACAAGTATAAGAATAGTTCCGTCTGAAATGAATGAAAATGGTTGTTTTAATGGTTACTGAGTCAGATATGTGGCGGTAATGTTTGATTTATCTAAAGGTTTTTATCTGTTACTGTGTAAATGGGTTTGGCTGTAATTTAAGGACAGATTCTAATATAGAGTGGGAACTATAAATCTGATAGGATTTTTATGTTTTCATTGCTGTTTTGCACAATATGCTTAGTTCTCTTTATTGTCCCACAATGGGCAAATTTACAGCAGCAGAAAGATTATTGAAAATGGTCACACAAATGTGGACCTTAGAAAAATGTATAGGACTAACATAATGGGGAAGAGTTAAATTATAAACAATAAAATACTGTAAAGTGTTTTAATAATATAAAATTGGAGAATAAATAACCAATATCTAGCTATGGACATTTTTACAGTAATGAATATTTGAAAATAGCAGCATCATCAGAGATGTGCAAAATGACAGCAGCATGTTTTTTTAACTGACTAAGGTTTCTATCATTACATTTGATTTTATTTGTTCCTGCTCCCGGTGGTTGGCACCTTTATTCCACTCTGAATTCGTGTTAATGTGGTCTTTGTTCACTTTACAATATTACATAAATAAATAAATAAACAAACAGTTTTGAAAACTTCGGTATTCATTCTTTTCCTGCTTTGTGCGTCAACTGTCACGGTTGCTAAGCAACAAAGCCTGCGGCCGTAAAACCCGCCGAAGGGTAGACCTGTTCGAATTTACAGCCAAAACTCTTCCGGCCTCCTTATTTTCAAGGACTTCGAAGGATCCAGTCTAGGTAGACCGCGTCCTTGGAGGATGCAGCCAATGAATTCTAAGAGAGCCAATGTGTCGATGCAATAAACTGGTTTTCCTTAGTTAGAAAACTTTGAATCCATTTGACTGCATGATCTGGTGAACTGTAAAGTGCCTTGAGATGAAATGTGTTGTGAATTGGCGCTATATAAATAAACTGAACTGAAATTGAAATGCTCCCCATCAGTGTCTTTCAAATAAAGAACACATTTCTCCTATCCTGGGCAGGTCTGTCTGTCTTTCTTTCTTTTTTTTTTTTTTTTTTTTGGTTGATACCAGCTGATGATCCCTAGTTCAGCTCTACAGCGCACTCATGTGGCCAAAGCTTCGTAGTGCACAGGCCGCTCCTGCTTCACAAAGGAAATGGAAACGTGTCACTAAGCAGTGCTTAACAGAGAAAGACCTGCGGTTAAACCAGGGCTCACAGTTTTATATGATGATAATTACTTTCATCATTTGGCAGTCATCAATGTTAATTATAATTAATTAATTTGTTAATTGGGGCTGTTCAGCAAGCAGAGGGTAGCACTGCTGCCTTGTAATAAGAAGGTAGCAGGTTCGAGTCCAGGTCTTTCTGCATGGAGTTTGCATGTTCTCCCTGAGCATGTGTGTGTTTTCTCCGGTTACACCGGCTTCCTCCCACAGCCCAAAACATGACTGTTAGGTAAATTGGCTTTTCTAAATTTTCCTTTGCTGTGTGTGAGTGGTTATTTGTCCTGTTTCTCTCTGTGTTGCCCTGTGATGGACTGGCAACCTGTCCAGGTTGTACCCCGCCTTTTGCCCGTAGACAACTGGAGATAGGCACCAGCGTCCCTCGCGACCCCAGCAGGGACAAGCGTGAAGGAAAATGGAAGGATGGATGTATAATTACTTATTTAAATTAATTTATATCTTTTCAAATTCTAAAATTAAAACCCTATAAAATACGACTTTAGTTACGACACCAGAATACATCCAGTTGTTACTCACCAGGCTTCATCAACATCTGATGATGGATAAAAAAAAAAGAAAATAAAGCCTTTCAAAAATTTCTTATTTAGAATTACTTTTAGTTCACTTGTGGCCAAGTTGCTGCAAAACAATTTGATTTTAGTTAGTAATTTCACTTCAGTATGTAGTAGTAGTAGAACCCTTTTAGTCATTGTGCAACAAAGCATATTAAGATCTGAAAGATTGATGGGGATTAATTAAAAAAATAATCACTATCAAAATTACAGGTATTATAATTAAGTGAGAGAACCTGTGATGGACCATGAGACAAAATAACAGAGCAGGACATAAGGTACAGCAATCAAAGAAACCAATGATACCAATGATAACCATGCAGGTCATATTCAGTGGAAATTGGAATGGGAAAGTCAACATCAGAGAGAGCACCAAACATCTGATCCAGTTATTATAACCCCTCCCTATCACCACCCAAAGTAAACCGCATAATCGTGACTGAAAAGATCTATTATGAATATATGAATAACTTGTGGATCTTTATTATATATTTTCATTTAATCTCTCTCTCTCTCTCTCTCTCTCTCTATATATATATATATATATATATATATATATATATATATATATATATATATATATATATATATATATATATATATATATATATATATATATATATATATATATATATATATATATATATATACACACTGATTTTGATATGTATCAGAATATGATAAGTATCAGAATCAGTACAGTAGGTGGCGGTATGCACCTAAACGTTTACGTTGCAATCTGCCATTACACAAAAAGAAGAAGAAGTCGTTACCTACCTTTGAACGGGCACAGCTGTTTTTGGAGAGGCGAAAGGTTTGACAGCGAGAAACCTTCAGTAGGGAAGTTCAAAATCTGCTAATTTCCTCTTTTTTCTTTTTAACAGGCATTTCTGTGAACATAGATGAAGGTAGGGAAGTTATCCCAGCTGTTCTCTAAATCCGCTTTTTGCTTTCATGTTTAAAAAGGCAAACAGAAACGAACAGCTGCTGCTTGGCGAAACTTGTTTCACTGTTTTAATTCCTTACGTTCGCATTCATGTCGTCTTAAAAGAGCTTTGGAGAAAAAAAGGACAAAAAAGTTTGATCTCATGGTGTTCTTCTCTGCAGGAATGACTGCTTACACAGTAGTTGCCTGTCTCCTGGTTGCTCAGCTTACATCTGCCAGAAATGACGCTCCATGCCAGCGCTCCAAGTGGAACAATGGATACGACACCTTCATCAGGCGCCATCTGCCTCCTGGAACTCCAACTTCTCTGGACCAGAACCAGTGGGAGAAGTTCATTAAAGGTCTGGGGGGCTGCAACAGACCGACCCAGTCCTTCCTCCAGCCCAGTGAGCTGCAAAAGGTGAAATCAGTGTGCAGCAGAGGAGGTGGGAAGGTGCTGAAGGACAACCTGTGCATCAGTAAGCAGCCCTTCACTTTTGTGACGGTGAGGAGCGAACAGGGAACCTGTGGGATCAGAAGCGTCAGGGAGGAAACCAAACACTTGATCCTGGCCTGTGAGGTTCTGGAGAATCAGTGCGTCCCGGTCCACTTTGAAGGAAACCCCACGGATAAAAAGCCCAGCAACAACGCAAGAGATTGCTCAGACCCTCAGAGCAGAGGCCATGCTCCCACTTTTACAATAGCACCTCTCTGGTTGTTTGGTGTCGTATGTATTTTTAATGGGCTCTGGATTCTAAATTTCATTTAACGCAAGAATGCTATTATATATATATTTTTTACTTTCAGTTATGTTTTCTGAGTTTTATGACAGTATTTCTATGGTTCTATCAAGAGTCTTTATTTGCATGAGCTTTTCAACCCACTTTTATATTTGATTGTATTATCTTTGTTATCTCAGGAGTGTTTTATCTTTAAGATCTAAATCTGTTTTTAAATGGTGATAGCATTTTAAAGGTGGAAACAAAGTTTACAAAGGGAAACAAAATAAAAAACAGATGAAGATTAATGCTTTAATTATCTTTCTTTGATTTCATCCAGTTAATCAAACTCTAAACCTTTCGCTTTTGCACCTGCAGGTACTCTGTAACAGCAAATTGCATCATTACACAGTTGTTATGTCTTTTTAAAAAAGGTATTACACCAGCCGAAAGTTATTAGCCAAACATAATCAAAGCATTTCCGTTTCTTTTTTTGCAACATCTCATTTAAACTTTCAACCTTCTATGTGTTTTGCATGTGGTGTAGTTCATATTTGAATGTGCTTTTATAAGTTGTGTAGTCCACTTTGTTCTGTGATTATTTAGATAAAACAAATAAAGATTTGCAATACAACTGATATAAAATGGTGTTAGGTTTGAGCATTTTTAAAACAGATATAGATTGTTTAATAAAAGCCTCTTTTTTTGACTCTGAAATGTTTCTTTTGTCTATAAAACATACATTTTAAAAAAGGAATCCAAAAGAAATCTGACAAGACTGAAAAAGAAAATTGTTCGATTAAGATATTAAAGATAGAGTGTAGGATTTTTGCAAGTTTTTGAAGAGACCCACCCTCTCCACAAAAATACACATGCTCAACCCCTGTATGCCTTCCTGAGAGGGAACGCCTATTTAACGCGTGAGAGAACATGTGCACGAGCCTATTTCTCCTCGTGCACGCTCTGTTTAAACGTTGCTGTTGCATCACTCATACAAGCTTGTTTTCCAAAAAAAGATTTGCAATTTTTCCACTATGTAAGACTCACCACTGGTCAGTGAAAATGGGGACAGCCTTACGTAACTATATTACCAGAATGATTGACAATTAGAAGGACCACTTCTTTTGATGATCAACCTGGAAAAAAGAACATCCTCCACTGTAATAAAATGCTAAAACTCACCCAAACACAGTTTCTCTCTGACCACAATCTAAATGTGTGGTCAGGTTTGAAAAAAAAGTGTTAGCAAGACCACCTATAAAAATTACTTAGCTACACCAATTTTGTCAGTAGCAAACAATTTTCAGAAAAAACCACCCACCACCACCAATAAATAATCCCTAAATTACAATGTTTAAAAGGCACGTCTAGCAAATATACGCTGAGATGATAAACAGCTGAAACGTGCAGCAGCTGACACCTCAGTTTCTCCTTTTTCTGATCTTTTGCAATCAAAAACTGTTTTATTTATCCAATCAATGTTAAAAAATGTTATTTATAATTTAATGTTACAGAAAATAAGGGCTTGATTAGACCTAGAGTTGATTAGACGTAGAATTAAAAAAATCTTCATTAAAATAATATTTTGAGGTAATTCTGGTTTTGAAGCAGCAGTTACATTTACTACTGGGGGAATCAGACAGAATAAATGAATATATTTATAAAGTTCATGCTAAAATGATTTCATTGGATTCAGTTAAACAAAACTTGAGTAGTGAGCATTAATCTATGGAGGACCTACATATTTAAGAATAAATATAGACATTTTTGCTCAATAAATACATAGTTATGCAATTGATTGGGCAAAAATTAATTAAATGAATAAATGTAACCATTATTTAAATTATACAATTGGAAATACATGTATTATAATTAGCTTATTTATCTATTCATTTAGTTGCCTTATTATGATTTTGAGCTTTATTATTTACCTGTTTTGTATTCAAATCTATGTATGTCTTTATTTTTGTTGTCTTTTTTTAATTTTGATTATTTTTTTTTACCTTTCTTCCATCCTGTTTAATGAAAGCATTTTGCCTGAACACATACCCAGACATCGCTCAGTCAGATTTTGGAGTTGACTGATTCTTGGGTAAAGGATTTATCATTGTCATTCAAACATGTCACAGCGTGTTTAAGGCCTATAAAATGTTTCTTTTGTTAGTTATGTGGAGAACCCTTTGTTATAAATATGAGCTGAATGGTTTAGTAAAAAGTTTGACTACAATGTTGAAGCCATGAGTTTATGTGGAAACTTCCTCTGACCTTATGCAGCCATGCTCAAAGCTTTTAGCTTTTATACAGTGGTGGACGAACTACTCAACCGTAGTACTTCAGCAAAAGTATCGATACTCATAGTCCAATCTTACTCAAGTACACATAAAAGTTACTCAAACATCTACTGAATTAAAGTATTGTAGTACTCACTTTTGAAATCACAAATACCATGCATATAAAGGTACTTAAGCATTCAAAAATAGAAATAAATGTTCTAATATCAGTACATTTCTGTAAAAGTTAAGAGTAAGAATCTTATAATCTTCAGAAACCTGACGTGCTGATGCATACAATCCTTAAATTCTATAGCACCTGTCCTCAGTATAAAATGCCACAAAAAATTAAAAATAAGGAAAGCTATTATTTCTCATTTAAAAACAAATCAAAAGGAAAACAAGAGTGTCTTGATTCTCCTCACGCTTTCACTATAGAATAGAGGTTTAAGGTCGAACTGTAACTCTGATTCGAGAACCCATCCTACTGAACAAACTGGCCACATGACAGCAACTAACAGTTTAATAAAGTTTATAAACTACAAATAATATCTGCCCTGAGTTTCTGGAATTTATGGAATGTCATACAAATCTCTCAACAGTGGTTTCCAAATTCAGTCAGTAGGGCTGCTATCGTTCAAAAGGAGAAGAAACTACAATATTTGAATTTGAAATGTATTTGAATGTATTTGAGTGAAAGTTGTAAGTACCCCCCCCCCCCAAAAAAAAAAAAAAATTCAAATAAAGACACTCATAAAAGTACTTAAATACAATTATCAAGCAAATGTACATTGTTACTTTTCACCACTGCTTTTATATTTGCACCTACAGCTCTTTTTCATCATGCAAGAGGAGTAATCAATTAAAAGGGTCAGATGCACGATTTAGATCAAACTTTGGAAAATGAAGCAGTAAGTCAGAGATTGATGTAATTTTCAAAAGAGGATATACAAGAACATATTGAGCAGCTATAATCATGCAAAAGAATCAGTGATAGAAAGACTAGATTGGGTATAAATGTAAATAAATAGGGACAACAGACATGTAACATAACGTTTTTTAATACGTTTCCCCTTTGCTCTACCTTTCTCATATAATTTTCTATATTTATGCCGCTATATGTTTACATAGAGTCCACTTTTCATAATTCTGCTTCATTCGTTCCCTATTCTAATTTAATTGAACTTTATCGATCTCCCATTGATATTTACCTCTGCATTTAACCCATCCCCTTGGGGAGCAAGGGGCTGCCATCATTAAGGGTCTTTTGCTCAGTATTCCAAGCTCTATGCCCTGACCACTAGGCTGCCAGTCCCCACTTGTACCACTCATAGGTTTATGCTTGTCCTCTTGGTCCTAGAGATGATCTCCTAGAGTCTAGGCTGTGGTGAAACGAGAGAGTTAAGTCATGATATTTGTCAATATTGGAGATAAATGCCTTGAAGCATCAAGGTTCTGGGTGCGATTCCCGGCCCTGGGTATTTCTGCATGGAGTTTGCATGTTCTCCCTGAGGATGTGGGAGTTCTGTCTGGGTACTCTGACTTCCTCCCACAGTCCAAACACATGACAACCATGCACAGTGTGAGTGTGCATGGTTGTGGGTCTCGGTGTTGCTGTCTGGCAACCTGTTCAGGGTGTACCCCGCCTCTGGCCCATAGACAGCTGAGATAGGCATCAGCACCCCTCACGACCCCAGCAGGAATAAAACCTGATGGAAATGGATGGATCTATGCAACAACAAATCTAAAAAATCATAACTTGTCAAATAGGGTCCAGCTGAAACTAATATGACTATGCTGGCAGTCTAAGAGTAAAACTGGTTCTTTTAGTGACACTAACAAAAACAGTACTGTATCTCATGAATGGCTTTTCAACACTTCTGGCTGCACCTGCCCCTGCAGGTATTTGAGTGGGCATGCAGTAACCCAGCGCTAAGTTCAAGTGATAGCAATAAATCCAAAGAACAATGGTTTTTATAGTCATAGTAGGTAAATCGAGCCTTACATGCCTGGGCGTCTTCCTGAATAGGGCTCAGAAAGTTCAGGTCTGACAGTGGCAACAAGGCACTGTCTGTTTTTCACCACTAGATGACAGTATTCCAGTAGCTAAGAGGAACCCTTAACAATAATGCCCTTTTAAACAAAATAAAAAGGAAACCAATTAGAAACCAGGCATATACTTCAGACTTACATCCACATCTAATTTATTTTTATTTAGTCAATAGACCTGTGATACTTGTGAAAACTTCACAAAAATACAGAGAGTGATATCAGAAGTTTTTGTACTATGATCCAATGATTCAAAGTAAAATAACAGACAATAAGAGGTATAATAAGTTTACAGTGTAGTGTGTTCATTTAAATAAGTTATGTATTTTTCCAGTTGAACAGTAGATATTAGGATATATCTATTCAAAACAACTGAACACTGTTACTGAAAAATATTGCTACCATTATCCATCCATCCATCCATCCATCCATCCATCCATCCATCCATCCATCCATCCATCCATCCATCCATCCATCCATCCATCCATCCATCCATTATATCTGAAACTTTATGCCTTTTTCCAAATCATTTTCTATAAAAATAGATCAGCTTGCTAAAAAAGCATACCGGTACATTCTTTCCTGTTTGTAACAATGAATGTGAATGCTTTGAAAAGTGGACAAAATGTCCATAGTGCAGCAGTTGTTGACCCTGGTCTGTTCTTATTTTCAAATTTCCTGCTTCATGATGAAATGAGGAATGAAGATGAATTTCTTTTTCATTTCTAACTAGACCCTCTAAATTATCTAATAGCTTTACAGTTCACAAAGAGGCTTTAGGCAAAGTCATAAGA